ACCCGTCGCCCTTCCCTCCAGCGAGTGTCCGCAAGCCGCGCGCGCGCCGTGCACCCTCTACACTTTCTGGGTGTGGAGGCTGGGCAGCGGAGGTGGCTGTTGGGTATGGGGCTCTGCGCTCCACCGCGGTGGAGTTGCTCTCACTTGGCTAATAGTGCCGGTCAGTGATGGAGGAGCAACAACGCAAGCGGTGAGGGCCCTGGTTAGTCCTGGAGAGTGAGTTTCATGTCCTATTTCTCCAGCAGCAGTGGGTGGGTGGGGAGGTAGAGGAGGTGAACAAACCCCAAGAGGTGATCAAGGAAATATTCAACTTTTAATGTGTGTGGGCTCTGCTCCTGGGCTCCCAGGGCAGCTCTACTTTTACCAAGGTCAGAATGACTTCACCAAACTTCAAAGTGTGGGCTCTATTTCTACCTTGAGCACACATTGCACATCTACTTCATTAGTAAATAACCCAAAAGAAATATTTCAAAGATAAGAATAAAAACCTCCCTAAATTCTGTTCTCATACCTCCGAAGCCTGCAACCTTGACATACTAAAAGCATAAGACAAAGTTTGTGATTTTCGGCAATGTGCTTCATCATGATGATTTGTAACTCTTGATGTAACAAAAAACCATATATAACCCTGTATTAAACATTCCTTCTCATGGGACACTCTCTTTGTGAGGATTGTGATGTTCTGGGCAGCTGTCTTCCCTTGGGCTTGAATAAAACTTTCTTCCTTTTTTAAATTTATTATTATTTTTTTATTTAGTAATTCTAAAAGGTTGTTCATTTTTCATGGACAGTTCTTGGCATAGTCGGCAGGATATCAGAGCAACTTACCTGACAACATCCGGGGTGTCATAGAGAACTTGGTGCTCGGTACCAGCCTGGGCCCTTTGTGCCCCTCTGACTTCTCAGCACGTGACAGATCTATGTGGTGAGTTCTGATATCCAGACCTCCTCAATCTGAGTTGAAGATTCTGACTTTTATTCAAGCTGTCAAAGGTTACTGGTAATGTTCTCTAGGTGGGAATAACCCAGAGGGGCGAATTGATGGGTTGGTTGTTTTAATTTGGCATTATGCTGATATTATTAACGTAAGGCTTGAATAAATTTTCTGGCTAGAAATATGAGAGACTGAACCATTCAGCTCCGAAGAGAAGGGGTACTTTCTCCTTTGGGCCACATGATGCTTTCTTCAGATGACTGAAAGCCTGGAAGCAGCATCTGAGAAAATAATTTTGTCCTGAAAGGAGACTGGTTATTTAGAGAGGGAAATTTTAGGACAAAACCTAAATAAGAAAGAAAGTTGTAGAAAGTTTGGGAAGGGGAATCCTTGAAAAAAATTTTATGTGTGGTCAGGAATAAAGGAATTTTTAAAGTACACTGATATAAAATTAAAATTTGCTTTTCTTTCTGTTAAAAAAAAAGACAAGAATTTCTTGGATTATGGGTGTGCTCTTGATAAGAAATTATAAACAAGGTTTTTCCTCTTTGTTATTTGCCCAGAAAAACAAGGTTTCCATATTTGTTTCTATCAGGTGTTTGGTTATTTTAAAAAGCTAAATCTTCTCAATATTAAAGGAGCCAGGTTTTGCTGATAGCTATACAACCTTCCATAAAATCTCTTATGGCCACTTTGGTTAAACAGTAATTAAATATTAAGTTTTGTAACAGTCTATGACCCCATGTAGACACAAGCTTTAAAACATTCTGAGTTTTTTTTTAAACAAAGTTCCCAGAAATTCAAATCCTAAATAGTCTTTTTGACTAATTAAGCTTGTTCATTTGGTATGTTAAGTTACTCAGAAAGTATTGTGAAACAAGTAATAAGCCTTAGGCTGTATTGTATGGATAAATGCTATAACTGTTCTAGAAAATACATGAGGAGTACCTGGATGGCTCAGTCAGTTGAACGTCTGACTCTTGGTTTTGGTTCAGGTCATGATCTCATGGTTTGTGAGAGGAAGCCCCGTGTCGGGCTCTGTGCTGACAGTGCTGAGCCTGCTTGGCATTCTCTCTGTCTCCCTCTCTCTCTGCTGCCCCTCCCCTGTGCTCCCCTCCCCCCCCCCGCCACAAATAAATAAATAAACTTAAAAAAAAGAAAAGAAAATATGTGAAATTCCTAAAGTTTTAATATGTCCTGTTGTAAGGTCATTGCTTGATATTATGATTCTTGAAATGCTGTGTGTCACAGAAATAACCAGATTTCCTTGCTGGCTATATTATAATGAACTCTCATATCAGATTTTTAACCATGTCCATGTTTAGTCTTTTGTCATTTATAGTTATTGTTCTGATGCTCTTGCCAAATGTGTTTCATCTTCAAGGAGACTCATAAAAGGAACTTTTTGAGAAATACAAGTATTTGATATACCTTTAAGATCATAAAACTAGGCTGAATAAAAATTTCTAGAATAGAAAAAGCATTCAAAAAAAGTTGATAACATGGAGATAAATGGATTGAGAAAGATGGTTATAGTTTTTAATGACTCTTACTTAAAATATTGTTGGGTCTCTAATGTTTGCTCTTTCAGGTTGAGGAAGCTTTCTTTTAAGATATCTATGATCTACAGAAGTATGATAAAATATTCCTTTGTGAACAAATTGAGGCATTTAACTCTTCTCCCTACCTGAACCCTCGGAAATTCAGAAACTCTCAATCAGTATACTTTCTTTCATGGCAATTATAATTACTTGCATTAATTCAATAAAAATATGTTCTCCTTGTAACAGGACACCATTAGAAACATTGGTTATATTATCAAGGCTTTGACTGGAATGTCATATTTGAATAAGACATGCATAGAGTCAGATATGACCAGAGAATTTTAAGGAATTAAGGTTGACTTTGTGAAGCTAATAGAGCCCCCTTGGAAATGTTGGCCTGATACCCTTCCTTGTGGAGTTCCCAGCAGCCTTACTTGTAAGGAAAGAATGTCACTTCCTGGCAGGTCCAAGAACCTCAGGATATTTTGGGGACCTTGAGAAGAGGAATTCACCCAAATCTAGAGGTTACAGGCAAGTTTGATGGCAAGTATTTAGATTGGCTTCTGGTCTCAAGAGGGTATTTAAAGTTTAAACTAGAGACTCCTTATAAAAAGTTCCAGTAAAGCAAGTTTTCAAGAATCTGTATGGTCAGTTACTGTTCTTGTTGAGCATATGCAAATAATTAGGCCAAGTTTGTTAAGACTGGACTTGTTTTACAAACCAATTAGTCTTGGTTTGGCTATCTTTAAGAATGAGGGTGATTAGAGGCGCCTGGGTGGCTCAGTCCGTTAAGCGTCCAACTTTGGCTCAGGTCATGATCTCACAGTTCAAGAGTTCAAGCCCCACATCGGGCTCTGTGCTGACAGCTCAGAGCCTAGAGTCTGCTTTGGATTCTCTCTCTCTCTCTCTCTCTCTCTCTCTCTCTCAAAAATAAATAAACATTAAAAAAATGTTTTTAAAAAAGAATGAGGGTGAGTATAGGAAGAATATATGTTTCAAGAACACATATTTATAGATAATAGATTTTAATACTGTTTATTATAAATTAGACTAGATCCTAAATTCTTCTGGTTTCCTCAAATATCTTGCTATGGCTCTCCAAACTAAGTTCTCCAATCTTCCATTCTCTTAACTAAAACTGCCCTTTTGCCCTAAAGCCCTAAAAACAGATGCTAGACAACTTGAGGTCAGCTTCAGAGAAATTGCCACAAAACTCGTGTGTAGACTATCTTTGTGCCTGGGATCACCAGAGACATTGGAATTATGATTCAGAAAAACCCATCTAGTTTTTGCTGCCTGATTTCCACTCCGTCTGAGGATGCTTCCAGCCTGACATCTGAAAATCTCACTGGTAGCACTTGAGACTCAGACACTAGGTTTATAATTTGCTCCAACCATTAACCTGTGTTTTTCTTTTGTTTCCATAAAAATGCCTCTTATTGATTGCTCGATTGCTTGCTAAGGCAGAGTCTGTATGATGGCTAACATCACTTGCTGCACCTGTATGAGCCCCTCTTGGGAAATAAAAATCCATATAGGTAAAATCGGGCAGCAAGCCACTTGGCTATAAGAAGCCCTTGACCACCACACTTCCCTTTCCAAGGTGGCTGGGGCTGGTTTACTGATTTATTCCCTTGGATACTTGTTGATATAGATCAATTTTAGAGGGAATGATGGGTTTAACTATACTGCTACTTTTCTTTAAAATATACTTGGGGATAAAATTAATGATGTCATATAGTACTAAACTATGTGGGAATATATCCAAATTCTCAGATAGTTCTCCTCCATTAGCACAAGGGACCAAAAATTGAGTCCTGCACACATCAGTTCCTTCCATTGCAAAAACCCTACTGCGTCCTAATTTGGCTTGAAGCAGTTATGGAGGATGGACCTCCACCCAGGTTCCATAGAAATGGAATGAAGGATTGACAATGGGAAATTATAACAGGAAAAAAAAAAAAAAAACCTTAGCATGTCTGACTCATGTTGCTTCTATTTCCCCTGCTGCTCTGACCTTTAAATTAAAAACTTCTGCTTAGCCTAGCACATAGGCATGTTAGAGCTAAGATTTGTAAAAACTGCTCTTTACCCCAAACCTACCTCACCTAAAGAAATAAGATGTGGACAAAATGGTTATTGTTGTAATTCTTCAAGATTAAGGAATGATCATAACTCAAGAATTGAAACTGTGCCCCATAGGGTTAATGAAGTTAAAACTAACAAAAAGTTTAAAACTTGTTTTTCAGACAACTGTTTCCCCTTAATCACCCATTATGTCTTTCAGACCCCACTAACAAACTCACTAGCTTTCTCTGCAGAAGCCTGGACTCAAGGTCAATTGATATGGTTTCAGCCTATGAACCAGCAAGGCCTTGCATTCCTTACCGGAGACAATGAGCCTAAGACCCCATCCAAGTTATACAAGTTCTCGGAGCATGCCCATAGCCCCTTTTCTTTACCCTACGAAAACCTGATGTCAGGGACTGAATTTTGCCTTGTTCTGAGGTTAAGTCACCATTCCAAAGAAACATGGGAATATATGTTATGTTTGCTTCTTACACATGCTTTATCTTTCCTCATAAATACTCATAAATTTCCCTACCCTTTTATCAAAATGTATGTAAAGGATTCTTTGGATTTTTTCTTCTGTTCCAACATGACATTGGTTTCTTCAGATTCTATTTATGGGAATTCTTTTACTGCCCACATATCTTTGTTATAACTGTTATATCAACTGTAAAACTAGACAATCTAAGCCAAGCACATGTAATATGTTTGCTTATTATTTAGACCTAATAGAGAACATATATCACTTTTAAGTTTCCCATATGTTACAATAGATTCCTCCCAATGAAGAATTGTACGTAAAAACTACATATATATTCACACCTAGTGACGAGAGACTTGATGGACCCAGGGCAGACCAGCCAGGCACCCTGGAAATTAGGTTGATCATCAATGCTTTCTGAGGAAAGAATATTGATCAAAAGGGGAAATAGTAAAGGAAATTTCCAACTTACAATGTTTGGGGCCCTGTTCCTAGGCTCCCAGGGAAGTTCTACTTTTACCAAGGTCAGAATGACTTCACCAAACTTCAAAGCATGGGCTCTATCTGCCCTGAGCACACATTGTATGTCTGCTTTGTTAGCAAATAGCCTGAAATATGTCAAACTAAAGGGTAAAAATCTCCCTAAGTTCTGTTCCCATACTTCAGAAGCCTGCAACCTTGCACATACTAAAAGCATTAAGATAAAGTTTGTGATTTTCTGCAATGTGCTTCATCATGGTGGTTTGTAACTCTTGATGTAACAGAAAAACTATATATAACCCTGTATTAAACATTCCTTCTCATGGGGCACTCTCTTCTTTGGGAAGATTGTGTGTCCCAGGCAGCTGTGCTCCTCACTTAGGCTGCAATAAAACCGTCTTCCTTTTTTTTTTTTTCCAATTATAAAAGGCTTGTTCATTTTTCACCCACAGAGCGACTGAGACTCTGGCCACCAGGGAATTGCTATTGTGGAGGGTGGTGGGGAGGCAGCTACTTGAAGGTTTCTGGCCATGGCCTCTCAGGACACTGAGCCCCAGCCCTACATTGTGGGTGGATACATTTCCCCTTAGGCTGAACCAACGTTGGGACTTTTTTTTTTTTTTTTTTTGAGAGAAAGAGAGAGTGTGTGTGTGTGTGTCAGTGCAAAAACGGCACACACACACACACACACAAGTGGGGGAGGGGCAGAGAGAGAGAATCCCAAGCAGGCTCCACACTGTCAGCACAGAGCTCCTGATGTGGGGCTCTAACTCACAAACCATGAGATCAGGACCTGAGCCAAAATCAAGAGTCAGACTGTCAATCGATTGAGCCACACAGGTGCCCCAAGGTTGGGGCTTTTGTAAGGACACGTCACTAAAAGGAAGAGAGAAAGAAGTGCAAACACATAGGGACACATGAGTTAACATGCCTGGATTCCTCTTCCAAGGTCACAAAAGGCCAGTCACAAATTAACCTGACCTAACGAACATGGTTTGAACACCTATGATATGCCAGGCAAGAGTCTAGATATTTCATACAGGTTGGCTAATTTATTCCAATGAAAGCTTCACAACAATTTTGTGAAATAGGTTTTATGCCCATTTTATAGAAGATAATGCTTGGAGAAGTTAAGTTGCCTTTCTAAGCCTAAGTTCTCATGGGGGGCCTGGGATTCACACCTAGGTCTGCCTACTAGCGAGACTTGTGCCGGTCCCCCTGTGCTTGGGTGTCCAAACAGCCCCTCACCTCACCTCCGTCTTTGCTGGGACATCTGGGGAGCCCTGTGCTAAAACACCTTTTTTTTTCCCTGGTCCTGAGATCATTCCCTCCATCTAGGATTCCTTCAGCTCTATGAAGCCCCAGAGGGCCATGGTTTAATATCTCCCTCTGCCCATTCCAAGAAATTAATTTTCTGGTTAACTTTGGCCCTTGGCAGTCAGACTTCCTGTATTCTCTTTTGTGAAGGAAAGCTTTTCTTCCCTATTCAGTGTTACCAGCTAAGAGGTGATTTTCGGAGGCTAGGAACTTGAGGGACTGACATAGGCCTTCGAGAAATAGGGTAATCTGGAGCACCTGGGCGGTTCAGTTGGTTAAGTGCCCAACTTCAGCTCAGGTCATGATCCCCTGGTTTGTGGGTTCATGACCCACAATAGGCTCTCTGCTGTCAGCAGAGTCTGCTTCAGATCATCTGTCCTCCTTTCTTTCTGCCCTTCCCCCACTCTCTCTCTCTCTCTCAAAATAAACAAACATTTAAAAAGTACAGATTCCTGGGCCCACCTCAGGCCCACTGAAACAGAATCTCTAATGGGGAGCCCCAGGAATCTGTATAAAAATTTAAAAATAGGGTAAAATGTGGGGCTCAGACAAAAGAGAGACTTAAGGGCACATCTTAACCCTCCAAGGCGTTGACCCATAGGCACATCTTTGTAGACTTACTGTTAACTAAATCATAAAAGTATAACCTCTGTTAGGTAGGGAGAAGAGTCCAGCTATGAGATTTAAAAAGGCCATGTGTACTAAATATTGGAAGCCACCAACAAACAGTCCATACTCTTTACTGAACCTTTGAGAAAACAGGGACCCAGGCAGTGAGTTGCTATAGTTCAAACAGCCATTTGGTGGACTTTCACCTTCCAGGCCAATGTTCCCTGTGCTCTGCCACCAAAGAGGCAAGCGGGGCAGGGAGCTCAAGGTTGGCTCACCCAACAGGAGGGGGCAGCAGTCGCTTTAAAAGAGGCAGTTGCCAAGTAGAGCCTGGAGCCACTGCCTTGCTTGTTAGTGCTTCTCTGGATCACCCGCGACTGTGACCCAAACCTACCGCTGTCAGCCCGAGTACCCTTTGCTCCTGTGCAGTGTGGTGCCCCAGCTCTCCTGGGTGCCTGGGGACCTACTGGGAGCAGTGTACACAGAAGGGTAAAGATGGTGAGCATAGCCTTCCTGATTTTGGAGTTTGTTTTAGAAAGGGTAAGGAGAGCTTGGGCCATAATTCTCAAATTCTCTTGGCTCCAGGTTTGCAGTGCGATTCCCACTCAATTCAGACAGTCCGGCCCAGGGATGGTGTGGGGCTGCTGCTGTTTCATGCCCAGTGTCCCACCTCTCCCCGCCTCCCTGCCTTGGGCCCCCATCAGGCCCAGAAGAAGCTTCAGGGAGGAACATACGAAGCTCAAAGATGCTTTTATTGGGAGGCGGTGGGGGGGGGGGGTGCTGAACGGAGACCTGACCAATCTGGCATTAGTGCTCCAGGCTTAGGAAAGAGATACAATAAATAGGTGGTAACTGGGGGAGAGAGGGGTCCCTCAACACAGCGAGAAGGGGAAACGTTTGTCTCAACCTCCGGGCTTGCTCATCCTCTTTGCTGTGTGATCTGGGGTGTGGGGTTCACCGCAAACTGGGGACCTCAGAGTGGATTTCTCAGGGCTCCACAAAGAATCAGATCTGCCATCTTGCTTGTGAGAGGGTCTTGGTCTTAGAGGTGTTTGGGTTGGTGCCTAATGGCTCATCTGAGGAGAGAAAACAACCGAGGTGAGGCCACTGCCAGGTGAGGGACCCCCAGAGCTCATGCCATCAACTGGCTTGGAGCCTCAAGGCATGCCTGAGCGGGTGGAGTCGAGCCTCTGGGTGAATATCCCCTGCGCCCGGTACCTGCCACACTCAGTTCTAGCCCGGGGCTGGGCCCGCAGGCTTGTCCACCTGGCACTCTCGTTCCCACCCAGGGAGCATCGCGCATTTCCCGCAGGGGTCAGTGCCCCCCGGCTGTCCTCACCCCCAGCATCCTTTTAACAGCTTCCAACCGCGCCAGGACTCGTGGGGCCTCCTGTGGACACAGCATCTGAAGCTCCCCAGGTCTCATGTGAAGCAGCTGGTTCCCTCTCAGGAACCTGAGGCTCCTCACCGTGCTGGGAACAAGAACAGCAGAAGCTGTCAGTGGTAGAGCAGAAGGACTCGGGCCCGAGTACTTGGGGCTTGGTATATTTTGGAGTGTCGTGTGAGGAGCTGTGTGGGCTTGGAGGCTGGGGTTACAGGAGGACTCATGGAGCAGGGTGCCTGGAGGTGAAGGAGTAAGATACCCATGTCGGCTTAAACCAGTGTCAGAACTCCTGGGTTTGAACAGAGAAATGCCCTGGAAGAGAATTTTGTGGTGGGAAGGGGTGGCTGGCGGCTGAGTTTCTTCCTGAGTTCCCTCTGGTCCTGCCGCCTTCCCGGAGGCGGAGGCTCCTCACTCAGTGCTCTAGAAGGGCATGGGCACGCCCGTTCTTCTGCTCTCTTTAACTCAGCAGAGGTAGCACTGCGCCGTGTATATTCTGGGTCTCCAGGCTTCCTTGGTTATTATCTGAGTCCTTTACGAAGGTTCTCCCAACACACCCTGTGGGGCTAGGCACTTACATGGTGGAGAAGTTCTCTGCCTGCAGCCAGGCTGTGACTTCCTCAGGCGTTGAGCTAAGTCGAAGCATTGGAGCCTAGAATCAGGTGAGATGAGATGAGAGGCCATCTCGTCTCATTTCTACCCACAAACCCCATCATCTGGGCCCCTTCTCTTGACTCCTATTGGATCACTCATCCCGTTTCATGGTTTGCTTGTCTGGTGGGGACAAGGCTTGATCTCTGCTCTGGCCCCATGATAAACTTGGCACACAGGAAACCTGTGACACTACTGATTAAATCACACCAGGGCTATCTCCTTCGCTTGTCATTGAATCCTTCCTGCCCCCCACCTCCGACTTAGAGCATCTGGATAGTCTAGGTTGGGTAGTACCCGAGAAGGCGGCTGGCTCTGGGACCCCGACTGTTGAGGCTCTAGGATGTTGCTGGGAATGTAGCCACTCTGTCCCTTCTCATTCTTCACCAGCCACCACCGCTTGCTCTGGTCCAGAACCTGCCAAGAATCACCCCTAACTCCTCAGTCACCCGAGCTTCTGTCCACCCCCACACCCCCACACCCCCACAAAGGTTTCTTCCTTCCTGCCCTTCCTCACCCTCCTTCTCCCTATCTAGGCCACCCACCCCAGCAGCCCCACACCTGGACCACCAACCCCTATGGCTCCCACCAACCACCATCTTCTTTTCTAGGCTCAAGCCCGTGTCTCACCTCCAGCACCTCTCCCTGGGCCACAGTCAGTTCCTGTGGGTTCCTAGCTTCAAACTCATAGAGAACTTGCATTTTCAGGGCTGGCTTGGCAAGTCTGGGGCTGGAGGGCACGTGGTTGGGGTCCCCGGGCTGAGGGCCATGGTGGTGTATCTCCTCTTGAGCAAAGTAGGTGCTCCCTAACGCGGGGCTTCCCCCCCAACCACACGCAGAGTCAGGATGGCTGGAGAATGGAGCCTCAGAGACTGAGTCCCTGTCCCAGCCCCAGAGACCCAGATATCTCCTGCCTGGAGTCTGGTGGTGACTTTTCGGCTGCCACAGAGGTGTAGTGGCCGGTCAGTGTAAGGTGGGCTTAGGGTGGGGGCTTCTGCAGGCAGGAGGGGTCTGAAATGTCTCTGATTTCTGAAGACTCTTCTAGGAGTGGACTTTTCTATGTCTGAGCTCTCCTCTGAGCGCTTTATCTCTGAGCTCTGGGAAATCAGAGGCATGTGTGGACAGTATCACGAGAAGGATTGGAGTCTGGGAAGGTAAAAAAACTGCTTTTTCACCCGAGGTAGGGGAGGGATGTGCTGTACACACGCATGTCTGGCTAAAAGAGAGCCCAGACGGTCTCTGAGATGTAGAATCCACAGATCCACAGGGTCAGTCCCATCCCTCCCTCCCCAGAATCATACAGCCCTGACTAAGTCCAGGGCATACCGGAGGGAAGTAGAGTCCTGGTATCCTGAGGGGGCCTGTAGGGAAAGAACAGAGAGAGCAGGAGCAGGCAGTCAGCCAACATGGCGGTGGGGAGCTGGGGTATCAGACCACAGACCCACTCACACACAAACCTGTCCCATATCCGCTCCCCTGCCTGTCCACCATACAGATCTGGGTACCCACGTGGCCCCGCCTACCACTTAATTTTCATGTGACCGTGGTTTGGACCGAATGGGCAGAAAGTAGCCAGAGATCAGGGCTTTGAGCAGGACTCTTTGCTAAGCTCCCCTTACCTGGTTGGAGTGTTCTGGAAGCTGCCAACCATCATAGAATGTGGGTTGATAGGGCAGGGGTTCACTGCCTGTCCAGTTGGCCCTGGGGAGAGAACAATGCTGAGTCCACTCCGTGCCAGGCTGTTGGATGTGGAGAGGGAGGGGATGGCCGGATCTTCTAGGTAAGGGAGGTCATGGTCCGTGTGCACAGATGAAAGGCCCCAGACACCCACACAGGGGCACACAGTTAAGCTGAACGCATCCCACCGTGTGAGTATCTGTAGGCCAGCCTCACCTCTGCCTGTGAAGTGCAGATACATCAACTCCAGAAGAACACACTAGGCGCTTTATGGCACCGACTTGGGGTGTGGATCAAAGGGGTGGAACCGAAGACTGTTAGGGCTGGAAGACCCCCTCAGGGCCTCAGGCAGTGTTTTTCTAACCTGTTTTTCATTTCTTGGCATCAGATCTCTTTCTGTTTAGCTAACTAGTGTGTGGGACTTCACCTTGCAGTCACAGGAGCTGCTGTGGTTAATGTAGGGTGGGGGCTGCTACTTGCCTCCCAGCCCCCTGCCACTCCCCCACCCCCCACTCCCACCCCCGCACCCACTGCAGGAAAGGCAGGCTCGCGCTGCTAAGAGTCTTCTCCACCTGCCTGTCCCGGGGAATCCCCACTCAGCTTGCGGAAGTTCCCTCCCTTCCTCATAGGGGCAGAAGTGATCATTTCCTCTTGGAATAGCCCGGGTTACTGCTCCTCTCCCACTGTGTTACACACACGTCCCACATGCCTGTGTTTCTTACTCCAGGGAGCTCCTTGAGAGCTCTATCCTGAGTACAGTGGGCAGCACATTGAAAAGAGCTCATAAATATCTACTCAGTGGGAACAAATAAATCATTCCCTCTTCTGAATCTTTTTTTAATGTTTATTTATTTTGAGAGAGAGAGAGAGAGAGAGTGGGGGAGGAGCACAGAGCGAGGGAGAGAGAGAATCTCAAGCAGGCTCTGCACTATCAGTTCAGAGCCTGATGTGGGGCTCGAACCCATGAGCTGTGAGATCAAGACCTGAGCCGAAGTCGGACGCTTAATAGACCGAGCCACCCAGACGCCCCCATTTCCTCTTATGAATCTTTTTAGTTGGTTCCTTTTCTTTACCCTAAAAACATGCTCAAGTCTTCCCTTGACCCTGCTAATACTCCTTTTTGGCAGTCATTCTATGACCTTCTCTTTTCTAAGAATATGTCTTTATGCCCTGCCCACATTATCTTTATGCCCTGCCCAATACTGGCCTTGTGTGGTCTCCCTCCTTCCAGATTACCACCCCATTTAGTGTTATTTATAACTTCTGGTCAGTTTGCCTAAAATCAAGTCACCTAAATATAATTTGCCCAAACTCAACTCTTTTGAGGGTTTTTACATCCTTTTGGTTAGTCTCTTTTTTGTACTTGTCTTTCAATTCACTCATTCACTGATTTGTGGTCATTTTAAGAAATTGGAGAACATTTTAGGGCACATTTGACTTCACTTTATATTTAAAAATGAAACGGAGACAGAAAGGAGAATAAAAGTTACCAGGTGCTGGGGAGAGGGAGGAACAGGTACAGAGTTCTGTTTGGCGTGATGGGAGAGTTCTGGAAATGGATAGTGGTGATGGTTGCACAACACTGAGAAGGTACCTAAAGCTATCAAATCATCCACTTTAAAATGGTAAATTTTATCTAATGCATATTCTACCACAATAAGGTAAATAAGTTAAATTGGGCCATAATTCATGTCTTTAGATGGACTGGACAAAAAATTCTTCTAATGAGGCTGAAATGAAAAGAACCCTCCACATTTGGCAAGAGACTCACTAGCACAGCTGGCTCGTTTCCTGGTTGACGCCTCTCTCTCCTCAAACCTCTTCTCTCTTGGTTTTCATGCCTCTGCTCTTTTGTTTCTCCTTTTAACTCCCTGGCATTTCTCTTTGCCTCCTTGACCTCTTTGACCACCAACACATGGAAGTGTCTCTTCTTCTCTCACGGGCTCTGGCAGGCCTCACTGATTTAAGGGAGCTCCCTGGGCTCCCTCTGGGGCGCTAGTCTCTAGAGGGCTCCAGCTGTCACTTCTGTGCTGACTTAAACCCACAAGCCAGCTGGGACCTCTCTCTTGAGGACCGGGCCACCCTGTGTCTGGTGAATGTTTCACTGACACCTCGGCTCCGCGTATCCCAGCTGGTTTCACCTCCCGCTCACTCCCCATGGCTGTCTCATTGCCTTGGCCTGATTAGCTCACTGCCCATCTCACAGTAATACCAGTGTGGGATCTCTCTTTCTCTCTCACTCTCTTGGCCTGTTGGTTGCCAGGCCTTATTGATGTTACATTTGCATCTCTTATGTCAGTAATTCTTAAGTTCTGGCTGGATTGAGACAGTTTCCACTTTGTCCTTGCCAAAAATGAGAAAATATTTTACTTTATTATGTTGTTAATTTTTGAGGTGTTTTTTTTTTTACAAGTTTTTTTTTTTTTTAATGTTTGTTTTTGAGAGAGCGAAAGAGACAGAGAGAGAGCGTGAGTTGGGGAGAGCGGAGAGAGAGGGAGACACAGAATCCAAAGTAGGCGCCAGGCTCTGAGCTGTCAGCACAGAGCCTGACTCGGGGCTCAAACTCACAGACCGTGAGATCATGACCTGAGCTGAAGTCAGACGCTTAACCAACTGAGCCACCCAGGTTCCCCTGAAGTTTTTTTCTAATGTTTATTTTTGAGAGAGTGAGCGTGAGTGGGGCAGGGGGAGGGGCAGAGAGAGAAGGAGACAGAGGATCCAAAGCAGGCTCCAGTGCGGACCCCGACATGAAGCTTGAACCCACGAACCTCGGGATCATGACCTGAGCCAAAGTGAGACACTTAACCGACTGAGCCCAGGCACCCTAAGAAAATATTTTAATAGAAGTTTGCCAGCTCTGCTTTCTTGAGAAGCATTGTTCTTTTCTCCTTCAGTGGTGGGTGACGGTGAGTGGTAGGTTTTGGTTTTTTTTAATTGTTTATAGTCAGTCTAATAAAAAGTTGGGAACTCCATGTTGGGTCCCCCCTGAATTTGTTTTGAGATATTTCTGGTTTGTGACAATGTAGAGCCTGCCATCTCCAGTGTCGTGCCTGATGTCCCCATGCTCCTCACCCCAATTCAGTTCAGGCCTGGTCCTCACTCACCGGCTGGTAGTCCAGGCCACACCCAGACCCTTCCAGAAGTCACTCTCATGTGGGCTTAGGCAGGACTGCAGCAGGTCGATGGCTTTGGGGGTGAGGAGGGGTGAAATCACTCGGGTGGCGAGGCCGGGCTCCGAGCACTGGGCCAGGATCTAGGGGAGAAATGGAAGGTGTCAGGAAGCCCAGGCTCCCCCACGGCTAAGGAGGAGTGGAAGGGCCTGGAATCCCTGGCTTCCCACCCTTGCAGTGCTGCGTAGCCTCAGGCCTCCTGCTCTTTCCTGTGTCTCTTGGATCCCTGGTGCCCCCGGCTCCGACCCCAGCCCATCTAGCTTGTTGAGGGGTTCTGCACACAGGCGGGATGGTATCTTGGAGCCAATGAGGAGGTTGTATTGTGGTGAGCAAGGTGCAGACCCCACAGCCTCCCTCTGCCCCCCTGCCTTCCACCGTGGCCTCTGCTCCATCTTAATGGAGCCTGTCTCTCTTTATCACCCTATCATCCCCAAACTCACGAAGTGTAGAAGTTGGAAGAGGGTGTGCACGAACTCAGGGGCATTCTTCTCCGGCAGCCAGATGGCCAGCTTCCCCTGGGGACACAGGGCGTTATGTGCTACTACCCGTCATCCTTCCCTACCTTTACCAGGACCACAGGGCCCCATAATTGTTCAGAGCTTCGGTTGGGGGCCTGGCACGCTCCAAAGGAGTCCCACGAGGAGGAGGGGGAGGTTCTAAGGGGTGAAGTTAGAGAAGGAAAGGATTTGGGGCATCTACAAGACCAGAGAGGAGGGCGCTGCTGGCATGGGGGAAGGGGAAGGCTGTGGAACTTGTGAGGAGCCACATACCAGGAGGTTGAAGCTGTACTTGACTTTCTGGAAGCAGTCAATGTACTGTGCCTGTGTCATCCCTAAAGGGGATGGGGGAAAGGGTGGTGGGTTGTAGATGATCCCAGGACCACACCCCCCACCCTTCTCCCCCAGCCCTCAGCACTCACCCCACTGATCCTTGCCCTTTTTCTTCCCCAGTCTCTTCTTCTTATGACTGTTCTTTGCCTGGGCCTCCTTCAGCATTCTCACAAACACCTCGATGTCTCTAAGGATGTGGCTTAGTATCTCCTGGACCCCAAACAACCCATGCCCTTGAATGGGCAGTTGGGCCCATCCTGGAATGCCCAACCCTGCTCCCAACCCCTCCCCACCTCCAACAGGAGCCTGAGGCCCAGTCCAGGGTCCGACCAAACCTCCCTATCCCTCCTCAGCCCTAGGCCTTCCTTGGCCATCCTGGTACCTGGCCTCCTGGGCGCAGGGGAAGGGTTGATGTCTTCCCTTGGGCCAGGCCCAGAAAGCCTCAGCAAACCCAAGACAATCTATAATTACCTCATCCCTCTCTGGGTTCTCGGGGGATGGGGACTGGCTTGGAGGAGGGAGAGTGAAGGTGCTTTGTTCTCGGGCACTGGAGTGGCGTGGCAGGGACCTTGGAGATGGTGGCATGTCTGCAATGTAAGGGGACCATGGCCCAGAGGCTCTTTGATCTTTGTTCCAAACCTTCCTTTCCATCTGCCCTCATGCCCCAGACTTACTGTGCTCTGGGGTCATCCAGTAGGGCTGTTCTGGAGAGGGCCCCTGCTCCGGAGGGTGTAACTGCTCCTTAGGGAACGGTCTTTCCGGAGGAGGCCCCCTCCATCTGTTTTGGCCTGGGGCTCCAGACTGGGGTCTGGTGAGCACATAATGGGGACACAGTTTTGATGGGGTTCTTGGGACAGAGGCTCTGTTTATATTTCTGCCCCAGGACTGAGGGATTTTACCACCTCTCTCCAGGACCCCCACCTGCCCTGCTCCCTGGTCTCCATCGGGACTCCACCCTGCCTCATCTGCCTGCCCTCCAGGTCCTCTCAGTCCCATGTCAGTCTCCAGGGACAGTCTTCAGTGTTCCCTGGTCCTGGCCTTAGCCTCTGCCCTATGCCCATTGGCAAGTCCCAGCCTGATCCCTTCCCAGTTCCAGGCCCAGGTTGGTTGGGCCACAGGCCTCTGGGCTCCCCCAGATGTGGGGCCGGGACCTGGCCCTCCCAGGCCCAAGTCCTGAGGTCCTGATGGGGGCCAGGGCAGAGACTGCCTACTTTTGCTGTTGGTCGTCCTCCAGGGCCTTTTGCAGGCTGGTCCTCAGTTGCTCTGCCTGGAGGAAGCAGCAGTCAGTCAGGCTATGTATATGTGTGGGGAGTGTCAGGGGGAGAGTGATGGTCAATGGACCCTATACCCCTGGTCACTCACCCCCACTTCCTGGCACTGGAAGAGCAGAGTGCTGGTGCCTGGCAAGCCCGACTCCCGTACTGTGATGGACAGGATGGAGTTGAAGGAGCAAGTGTTGAGCGCCACATCCATGGCCTGGATGCTGTCCAGGCGGTAAGAGTCCAGCTCCTCCTGGGCCGGACAGAGAGTTGGGCTGTGAGGCCCCTGAGAGCCATGGTGGCTCCTGGAAAGAGCTCCTCCACCATCTATGGATATTGATCCATTGCAGAGGACAGTGGGAGGGCTGACCTTTGTCTCAATGTCCAGCAGCTGGAGCCAGCCATCTCTGACCTGCAGGAACAAGTCCTGACTCCACACCCGGCCCTGAGCATCCACCTCCTGCAGTTTCTTCAGGGCATCCTTGGGCTCTTGGACTTTCTGAGTCCCCAGCTTACATGTCATCAGGTGCTGAGGGGGAAAAGAGGTTTGGAGAGGGGGCTCACAGGTTGTAGTAGGCAGGGGTGGGGTGGTGGAAAGGCAGCAGACGAGGAAGACATCCCTCCTTGTAAGGGATGTCCCAGGCCATCCCCGTATAGAAACCTTCAAGGGTCAGTGGGAGGGCTAGGTTGGGCTAGGATAGGGCCCCCAAGTCAGGGTCTGATGAGCTGCACGAAAGGGTTTCAGAGTCTGGAGGAAGGACAATCATGACCGTTAACAGTCCAGGCCAGTTGAAGGGGCTGGATGGTGGTAGATATGGGTTCCAAAGAGCCAACAAATAAAGTCTGCACTCCTCTGAGTGGAATATAGGACCTTCAGATTCCATCCCTGCCTTCCTTGGCCCCAGTTGGGAATCCACCATCGTAGCCTGGTCCTTCTCTTCACTGACCTAGCATTCCTGCCTCTCTGACATTTCTCATGCTGTTCCCTGTACCCAGAATGCTTTTCCCACCTCTGCTAGTCCATCCCTTCCCAGTCGTGCAGGAAGATTAAGAGCCCCCTCCCTGATTCTTGCCCGGCAAGGTCCATAGTCATCTGTCTCCACTCAGAGCCTTGCCCACGGCTGCTCTGATCACGTTTTTGTGGTTATTCTCCTTCCTCGAGGAGACCTCTGCCTTCTCCCATCCAAATGCCACCCCTTGTCCTTGCCCCCAGGCCCTTGTTGGGGGGCAGCTGTCTGCCTGATCCCCCTGCCCTGCTCTCTGCCCAGTCCCCAGTGCCTCTCCATGAGTTCACGCTGCCTGCATGTTCAGGGGTCCCTGACCTCATGAGCAAACGCCTGGCATCCTGGACATGTCTCCTCTTGCTCTCACCTGCCAGGCCTAAATGGAGCCTGTTCCCAGCCCCCACCTCTGTCATGAAGCCCAGGACTCCTGGCCCCAGCCCAGCTGGCTGAGGGAGCCCCACCTCTGCTGCCCTGTGAGCCTCCAGACCACCGCCCCTGTGCCCCTCTCTGCTTGTTCTCCCGGAGAGCCTAAATTTGCCACTGCCCAGGGGCTGTTTCTACCCCAGATACTTCAGCCTGGTCAGGTATATGCTCCTCCCCACCACGTCCTTCCAGCCTGTGCTCTCCCTGCGGTGTTGACAGGCCTTCGGGCAACCAGATCTCACAGCGCCAGTGTTGTCCAGCCAGGCAGGGCCAGAGCCTCCGTGCCAGCCTCCAAGTAGCTTGTTTGTGTCTGCCCTGGGAACTCAAGTCCAGACATTTCTCCTCTGAGACAGTGGGCTGTTCAAGTCCTTGCAGGGACCGCTGTCCTCACATATTTCTGCCTCCAGCCAGGCCAGATCCTGGGCAGAGAGCAGCTCCTCAGGGTTACTCACCTCCACCCTGTGCTGCAGGCAGGTGGGGTCTGTGGAGAGGTTCTGTGAGTACTCCTTCCGGTGCACTGCAGGGGTGCAAAGCAAGGGGATGGAGACACAAGAACAGGGCAGGGGAGACATGCAACTACAGGGGGGAGTCAGTGAGGGGAGGGAGACCCCCGAGGGCAGTGGGTTGGGGTGGGGGGAAGGGGAGAAGGGACCGGTGGGGGAGCTTACGGTAAATGGCTCTGCTGCTCGGCCGGGACATGTTCGATGTCTCCTAGAGTCTACACTGAACCAAAGAGATAGCCATCAGGGCCGGGGAGGAGAGCTACCAGGGCAGAATGGGGTAGGAGGGCTGCTCTTGCAGTTCAACCCTCACCCAGGCCTGAGGCTCGGGCCAGGCTCTGACCCGGGGCCTCCAGGACCAGGCCAGAAACTTCTGGCTCCAGGGGCCTTTCTGGAATCATCTTCAGATATGCCACTCTCTGAGGAGCCCCATCTTGGCTGGGCCCGGGGGCCCCAAGGCAGGCTCCTGGCTCCCCATCATTTGGTCAGTAAGGCTCATTCCTGTGGGCTCAGGAAAGCTGGGTGGACGGGCACCTGGGAACATATCCTGCCTTGGGCCTGGATGTGAAAGATGCCAGGTCCATGGGGCGCACCTAGCTTCTGGAGGAAAAGCATCAGGTGCGGCAGCCTTCCTTGCCAAAGCAAGTCTCTTGTCCAAACCTGGACTAGTTCTGCAAATGTCACTCCTTAAGCTGTGGGCCCACTTAGGAGGGGTGTGTGTGTGTGTGTGTGTGTGTGTGTGTGTGTGT